GGCTCCTGAATCTCGCTGGTGGGAAGGAATAGATCTCGGAGAAGTTGTAAGCTCAACTTGGCGTATGTGACCATAATTTGGCTCCCTGTCAAATCCAGAATTTAATTCAAAATCTTACTTCTAACCTACAAAGCTCTCAACAACCTAGCTCCATCTTATATTGCAGATCTTATTGTTCCATATTTTCCTAACAGAGCACTTTGCTCTCAGACGGCAAATTTAATTGTGGTTCCTAGAGTTTACAAAAACAGAATTGGAGGAAGATCCTTCAGTTCTCAGGCTCCTCTCTTGTGGAAACAACTTCCAGTTTCTGTATGTGAGGCTGACACATTGTCCAGTTTTAAGACTGGGATTAAGACTTTCCTTTTTTGATAAATCTTATAGCTAGGGTTGGCTTGGTTTTCCTGAGCTATCCCTTAGTTCTGCTGCTATAGGCTTAGACTGCCGGAGGACTAATTGACCACATTTCTTCACTATACTACCGTTTTTACTTACGCTGCTCAACCTGTTCTGTATTTGTAATTATTTTTTCTATCCTTAACATGTTTTTGTCTTTCAGGTACACCTGGACCTATATCTGGACCTGGACCTACATCTGGACCTGGACCTATACCTGGACCTACCATTCTGTGTTTGTCTGTCTCTCCTTCCTGTCCTCTCAACCAGCCGGTCAAAGCAGATGGTCTCTTGTCCTGAGCTGGTTCTGCTGGAGGTTTCTTCCTGTTAAAGGGAGTTTTTCTTTCCACTGTCTCCACTGTGCTTGCTCAGGATGGGAGACTGCAACGAAGCCAAGATTCAACTCGTCTGCTAGCTCCTTAGATAGAGAACTTTACTAACTGGCTTTTCTATGTAAATGTTCCTGTAAAGTCCCAGAGACAACTTTGTTGTATTTTGGATCTATAGAAATAAACTGAACTGAATTGAATTTGGCTGTTTGGAGTCACCATTGAGATGTACCAGCGAGACTTTAATAGAAAGATGGAAATTAACAAGGTTTGGTCTTACCCAAGACAAATGTTGCTATCCAAATCTGGTTCCCCCCGCGTCGGCCTTGGTAGATTGACCATCTCAAATTCTCCCAAATGCTATGTGAACATCCCTCCCCGCTCCCTTTCCCAAGGACATGGATCTGTGTCAGAGCTCTACCAAGCCGGCTGATGAACACTGCACCAGATCACTTATCAGGATTACGGTTGGGGGGCGGTGGGTATCTGTACAGTGTTCACGGACTACTTCCCCACAAATTCACCACCTTCACTGGCCTCCCTCATTTTGCACACCCCCCCCCCCCCCCCCCCGCCCCCGGTGCAGCAACTTAGGTAGAGTCGAAGGCACCAGTGGCTGCGTCGCTCACTTGGGCAGCCTGTGCTGGGACCCCCACCCTCACCCACTCCACATGCATATGTCTTTGTCACCAGTATGTTGGCTTTTTTTTATGCTAAGGTTTTTTGCAACCTCACACTGTGTCTCGTCAAGGACAGTGTGATATATGATTTTTTAATACGTCCTCTTTCCTCACGTTTTCCCTCTTCCTTATCTAAATGAAAAGGGCAGCACTTCACACAAGGCTGCAGCCTCAGGCATCCCCGTCTACCCATGTTGTTTTCTTAGGATGGCTGTATTGAAATGTAATTTTGTTGTGCTTCTGTGCAATGACAATAAAGACTGATTTGGATTTTTATTCTGATTCTTAATATTTTCTGTTGTTTTAATTAAATTTCTCTGCCCTGAATGTTTGATAATCTGAGTTTAAACTTTATTCTGGAAGAAATATGTTGTGTCTGGGTTTAGTGATTTTATGATCAGTACATATGTAAAGTTCACAGATGATAGCTTGGTTTATTATTTTGTGTTTTCAAAGCTGGTTTGATTCTAAGCTGGCTTGTTTTGGTGCCAAGCTTTCTATTTCCAGTTGTTTGGGTCCAGAGAAACTGAGAACCTCTCCATGTCCCAGCCAGATGATTGATCTTCAAACCTTCAGCTAAAACAAGTACATGAAGGTACTTAATACCCTCATCATGAGGGTAAGAAGCCATTAGTCATCTGACTTTAAACAGCTACATGGCAAACAACCAGATTAACGATGAACACACAAAACAAATTAAACATCTGACATTCTAATGTAACAAGGGCCGAATGAATGAACCAGGGCTTAAAGAGGAAAAAAATTCCCCCAGAAGATTTTGAACAAAGCAGATGCCATTTCCTGTATTCTGGTGTATTTTAAGGGGTTAAACATCTATGTTTACCTACATAAGTAACTTGACTCAATAACTATTTTAGAGAGCAACAAGAAGCAACCTGACCAACAGCTCTCCTTGTGTGAATAGAGCACGCTCTGCTTACCTCTAGCAACCTAACACCCCCACCCCGGTTGACAACTGCTGGCACTAAAGTATCGATAAGATAGCATGCCACACACAGGTGTCTATTCCCCTCTTCCCCCCACACTGTCTACAAAAAACCTCAAAGAGATGAGTGTCCCTTGCCAAGACAAGTATCCTGGGGAAACCCTGCATGCAGTGTGGAGAGTTGTTGAAAACCCAGAGTGAACTTTCAGTGCTTTGACTATTCTTCTATTAATCAAGTGAAATGGATCTGTTCACAAAGAAATGCAAACAGGCACAACTGGTAGAGCTGCTGCCTCTCAGCGAGCAGGTCCCTGGTTCAAACCCCGGTCCAGGGGCCTTTCTGGGTGGAGTTTGCATGTTCTCTCCGTGCATGCGTGGGTTTTCTCCGGGTACTCCGGTTTCCTCCCACAGACCAAAAACATGCAAGTTAGACTGATTGGTAACTCTAAATTGTCCCTAGGTGTGAGTGAGACAGTGAATGGTTGTTTGTCTCGTTTGTCTCTATGTGTCCCCGTGATGGACTTGCGACCCGTCCAGGGTGTCCCCCGCCCCTCGCACAGTGATTGCTGGACATGGGCACCAGCGACCCCCGTGACCCCAAATGGAATAAGTGGGTAAAGATGATGGATGGATGGATGGAAATGCAAACAGCTCTGGGTGAACTAATATTTCATGGTAAATGTGTGTGGGGGGGTCCAAATAAATATTTTTTACATGTGAGGGGGACATGTCCTCATCACATAATTGGTGTGATGCTGCTTACCAGCATCACAGGCATGAAAATAATTATGAAGTCATAATCAGCAGCAGCTGTCAATCAATTTTGTACAGATAACATACATTTATAATATAATAATCTAATAAAGAATTATTTCACAATGAATTGATCTTTATTCTTTATCTTGCAGCCCCCAGCTGAATGCATGCAGCTCAAAAACTACAGACATTATAGTCTTCCTTGAATAAGACAGTTTTAACTCTTTATCTTTATTTATTTATTCATGTTCCTCAGAGGAAAAATCAACCTTCTTATTTAAGCTGTCAGCCTCAAATAAATATATCTAATTGAAATGATCTTTATTTTAATGCTTGTAGGGTTTTTGTTTAAAATCTCTACATTATTATTTGTTTATGGACACAATATTTATTTTACTGTAATTTTTTTAAAGTGTATGTTCCTCCATTAGTCCACCTTCTGGGTCAACATCCACACCCTCCTCTGTTCTCCAGAGCTCAGAACTGATGCTTGGTTCTGGACCCCCCCCCTCTGCACAGTCACACGTGGGCTTGGTCCGCTCTTCCTCTTCTAATGATCTTCCTCTTCATCACCCCCGCTCTCGCTGACTTTATCGTGCACTGATCTCCATTCAACTTCTGCTTTCTTATTTTTCCTCTAGATTATTTGGTGCTTGACAAATAACTTGGAGCCTCCATCAGAGGGGGAGGGGGGGGTTTATGTGTACGGTGGTGGTGGTGGTGGTGGAGCTGCAGCTTCTCGCTGTACCTCGCTTGAGATTTGACTGTTGTCAGAAAAAAGATGTGGCGTGGATTATTTATCACAACTCTGATTTTACTTGGCCTATCAGTGTGATTTAAAGACGATTTAAAATCTGTAGTTTTGACACAAATTTAAATAGGGGTCACTGGAACGCTGTCTCTTTCCTGCTAGTCTGAAATCGGTCATTTGATCCAGGTGCCTGTGCTTCGTTTGGCTCCAACGGAGACACATCGTCCGTCAGAGTAGGAGGCGCCGGACACTTGAGTAGGAGGCGCAATCACCTCCTGTTATGGAGGAGGCAGAGCGCCACTTGTTTCTCAAGGAAAACTATATTTTATTCCGGTGTGAAGAACTCCCTCTTCTGCATTGATTTGACTGCGAAGGCGCATACACACACATGCTTTTCTAAGACCCACCTTCCTGTTAGTAATCGGTCAAGACGATGTGAGCTTCAGTGTGATCGGATGTAATCCCGTCTATCAACCAAAGTTAAGATGAGGAGACCAGCGGGCTGTCTCGCTCTCAAGCCAGAAATCCAGCCCCCGGCCAGAACACTTTAAGCCCCGATGAACACTTCATTTATCCTGAGGAGAAATTATTTCAAATGGTTTCAACTCTGAAATACTTTTATTAAACCTAACCCTGGTGTGAGATGTGATTAATATTAATCTGATCAATCTCTGCTGAACACACCCTAACTAAAAATATGACCTCAAGTAAAAAGACAGACTATCAACTGTGTTCACCACAAAACCATTCAATTTATTATGGTTTCACGAGAACAGAGTTCAGATAAAATGCCTAAAAACTTAAAAACAAGCAGAGCTTCAAGTAGCGTAACCTATTCTTTTTACCATCCGTTTAGTTCTAGTGTGGGCCACACAAATGTAAAATTAGTTTCTTTGCTTTTATTGTTTGGCTCTTTGTTTCTAAAAGATGATCAAATGTCTGAATCAGTCAATAATTATGTTGGAACATCGTCGTCGTGCCACAGAAATAAATGACTAGTTTTGAGATCTCAGGATGTCTCATTAAATCAACAGAAGGTACTGACTCTAAGAAATGACGGCTGATTTTTGAAGGGTTCAGACTTCAAGTCTGGTCTGGGACCCCTGCAGCACGGCCGAACCGATTCATGAACGACGGCTCACCTGGTGTCAGGGCTGTCATCCACGATGCGTTCAGGTGAATCGGAGGTTGCCGGTTCTTCATCCCCGTCCTGAGGCAGCTCTTCACATTCTGCCTCACATTTCTCATCGTCCAGCATCTCTGTGATCTGAAGGACAAACACTTATAAACTAAAGAAAACCTTATGATTTAAATATTGAATAAAAGCTTTTACATAATAAGGTGAATTCTAACAATAACTGAAAGCATTAAGTGTAGAACCACTAGACTGAGGAACAGCTTCTACCCTGAGGCTGTTAGACTCATGAATCTCTAACCAGAAGAATCACTGTGAAAAAAATCACTGTAATGCCACTTGATTGTTGGTATGTGCTGCTGATCTCATGCTGCTGATATATTTTATGCTGCTGTGTTCATTCGTACTCATCTGCTCACACTGACTCATGTTCGTGCTGCTGTTGTTCAGCGTATTGTTTTTGTACTACTAGCTTAGTATATTCTTAGTTTAGTGTATTTCTTAGTTTAGATCTCGTCACTGTTTTTCTTTACAATTTATACTTTTGTTGGATGTAACTGGGACCCTGTGCACATAATTTCGTTTCATCACGTGTGGTGGAACAACAAATAAAGAAACTCTGACTTCGATGATGTCGGTATGGAAACAAATTATAATAAAACGATTGAGTCCAAATGCAAATATTTAGCTGACAGAGCGTTCTGAGATCAGAGTAATGACTGGAAACATCAACCTGTTTAACGTCAGCTCTTTTGGAAGACGGGGTCAGTGTTCAGCGAGACATCCAACTTGTAATCAAGATATCATGTGAATCAGGGTGACTAAATAAAGTACTCTGAAGGACAGCTGGAGGGTCAGAGAAAATGGAGGGGGGGGGAGTCTGCAGAGTTGAACGTAGGGTCAAGAGATAGCTCGTTTTCATCCTGATGCAGTGGAAGGACGTACCCAGCAGGATAATCATATTACACATCGCTGCAGGAGAGTGGGTCCACCAGAACACACTAAACTAGTTTGACTTGACAAAACACTGCGTTTATTCTCTTCACACCAAACACCCTCTGACTGGAACCCATTACAATCTGTTCACAATCACTACAAAAACATAAAGAACATATTATGAGTTTCCAAACCCTTAAAAGGAACAGAAGATGAAAGAAAATGATTTATATAAATCAAGTAAAATCATCAAACATTAACATAAAATTTACAACACGGTGAGGTTTAATTTGCAGACAGAGAACTAAAGTAGACAGAAAGTGCTGAGGCACAGGAGGGAGTGATAATTACTCTGACGGTCACGGATGGAAAGTGACATGGGAAAGGAGAGGTGCAGTTTAGAGCAGTGGTTCCCAATCCTGGTCCCCGAGGAACCATGTTCCATATTTTACTAACAGAGCACTTTGCTCTCAGACTGCAGGTTTACTTGTGGTTCCTATAATTTACAAAAACAGAATGGGAGGCAGATCTTCCAGTTCTCAGGCTCCTCTCTTGTGGAACCAACTTCCAGTTTCTGTCCGTGAGGCTGACACATTGTCCAGTTTTAAAACTAGGATTAAGACTTTCCTTCTTGATAAATCCTATAGTTAGGGTCAGCTTGGGTTTCCTGAGCTGTCCCTTAGTTCTGCTGCTATAGGCTCAGACTGCTGGAGGACAAACTGACCACACTTTTCACTCTGCTACTGTCTTTACTTACTCTGCTCAACCTGGTTTATATTTGTAATTATTTTTTCTATCTTTAACATGTGTGTGTGTGTGTGTGTGTGGGGGGGGGGGGGGTCTTTCAGGTACACCTGGACCTATATCTGGACCTGGACCAATATCTGGACCTGGACCAATATCTGGACCTGGACCTATACCTGGACCCATATCTGGACCTGGGCCTATATATGTGGACCTGGACCTGTACCTGGACCTATACCTGGACCCATATCTGGACCTGGACCTGGACCTATATCTGGACCTGGACCTATACCTGGACCTACCATTCTGTGTTGGTCTGTCTCTCCTTCCTGTCCTCTCAACCAGCCGGTCAAAGCAGATGGTCTCTTGTCCTGATCCTGGTTCTGCTGGAGGTTTCTTCCTGTTAAAGGGAGTTTTTCTTTCCACTGTCTCCACTGTGCTTGCTCAGGATGGGAGACTGCAACGAAGCCAAGATTCAACTTGTCTGCTGGATTCCTTAGATAGAGAACTTTACTAATTGTCTTTTATGTGAATGTTCCTGTAAAGAGCCTGAGACAACTTGGTGTGATTTGGTGCTTTATAAATAAACTGAACTGAATTGAATTGAACACCACCCTGCATGTTTTAGTTGTTCATCTGCTCCAACACACCTACTTTGAATGAAAGGTGATTAACAGGCTTCTGCCAAAAATAAGGAAGTAATTAAACCCCTGAATCAGGCGTGTTGCAGCAGAGGAACAACTCAAACATGAAGGATGGTGTTCCTCAGGGACCAGGATTGGGAACTACTGGTTTAGAGGAAGAGGCTCACGACGTGTTGACAGAAAACAGAGCACTGCACCAACAGCAAAGAGCTTCTGAACACAAGACAAACACAAACCCTTTGGGTGGGCTTCAGTCAGACACAAAGATTAATTTTCTGCTCATTACATGGGTATGATTTTTTCCTGTTTCAACACCTGCTGCAGTCGATTAGTCGTCAATATTAATAACTGCTATATTTCCCTTAGAGATGTCAGGCTTTAATCATTGCTGATGACTCGAGCTTTAGGTTGATCACAAAAGTTTCTACAACATTTTAAAGAGAGACGTAGTTCATCCCTGACAGGAAGAAAATGTGGGTTTAAGTATAAAGACGTCCATCTATTTGTCCATTCGCCTTCTTTTGCATCGCTCTGAGCCAATGCCTTGGAGACACTTTTATTTCAACACCTGCTGTGATCACAGTCGTCATCATGGAAACACCTTTGTTTCAACATCTGTGGTGCCTAGCTGTTGACATGGAAACACCTCTGTTTCAAGAACTGCTGCGGTTGCCAAGTCGTCGTCATGGAAACACCTCTATTTCAACATCAGTGGTACCGAGCCGTCACCATGGAAACACCTGTTTCAACATCTGCTGCGGTCGCTGAGCCATCGCCATGGAAACACATGTTTCAACATCTGCTGCGGTCACTGAGCCGTCGTCATGGAAACACCTTTATTTCAACATCTGTGGTACCGAGCCGTCACTATGGAAACACCTCTGTTTCAACATCTGCTGCAGTCGCTGAGCCGTCACCACGGAAACACAAGTTTCAACATCTGCAGTCTATTGCTACTGCAATATTTGACTGGTTAAATAAAGGTTAAATAAAAAATAATGTCCTAAGAGCGCACGCTGTAGCTGCACTCACACAGAGACATGTAGAAGATAATGGTGACCAGTTAACCAGTGAATACTGGGTGCAGTGGTGGGTACGATAATTACAACCAGTTATGAATCTTAGTGCACAATGATAGACAGCATCCAACATCTGCAGCATCCAACATCTGCAGCATCCAACATCTGCAGCATCCAACATCTGCAGGGTTCTTGTAGGAGCGTTCATGTAAATAATGTCACCGTGATCAATGGAGGGAAGGAAAGTCACAGATACAAGGTGTTTCCTAACATTCAGAGTTAGACAGGATCTGTTTCTGAAAAAGAAACCCAGTTTAACTTTCAGTTTCTTTACTAGATTTTCCACGTGAAGCTTCAAAGAGATGTGAGTCGACCAAGATACACAAATATTTAAAGGAATCGACAAACTCAATAGGGACACCATTTGAGGATAAAATCAGAGGAAGAACAGCTGGGACCGACTTCCTGTTTGAAAACAATGTCCCTCTTGGTTTCATCAGAGTTTAAGACGAGTTTGAGACGGAACAAATCTGACTGGATGGTGTCAAATGCGGATTGCAAAAGCTGGAAAGCCTTATCAACTGTTTTAGCTCGACAATAAACAACTGCATCAGCATAGAAATGTAAGGATGCATCAGTTGCAGAGCCGTTGCCATGGAAACACCTCTGTTTCAACATCTGCTGGGGTCGCCGAGCAGTTGCCATGGAAATGCCTGCTTCAACACCTGCTGCAGTCGCCGAGCCGTTGCCATGGAACACCCATTTAGAAAGCTCTGATTGGCTGTTAGGGAATTCTTGCAGCGTTGTACAAATCTCAGAGGATGCCTCACAAAAGCCCTATTCGCACGGGATTAGTTTTACCTAGGGACCAAGTTTTACCTAGGGACCACATGTAATAAATAAATTACTCCCCAACATCAGCTTTTTACGTGGTGCATTCGCACAGGATAACCAAAGCCTGAGATTTAGCTGAAATTTATGGACATCTTCTGGATATGATGTTATTGTGTAACAATGATGTTACATCATTCATGTCAGTCACGTTACGTTCAGGCTACGGCCACAGCTTGGGGCTGTGTTACTGCCAGCGCTAGCCAGCTGTATAGTAGTCTACAAACAGAAGAAAACTATTCTTACTGCACAGAGCATTGCATGATGTGAGCCACCATTTGCATGATTTTGCTCCTTCTCTTCAGCCTTTTCATTTATTTTGGTGACTGTCATGGGTCGATAGGTTTTGCTGATCCAGGACACAAAAGGTTATTTATGCACTCCAATGCAGCCTCCATTGCCAAAAGTAAATAAAAATGCACCCAGGAAACAAAAACCGCCGAATTACGTATTGGATCCCACCCATTTCTGTCCAAATCACAGAGATGCCTATTCACATTGGATTAGTATTATCACAGGACCTCGGAGTTCAGCAAAATATAGTAGGTCATTTGTTGGGGAATTTTTACTTTACAAATTACTGACATGGCCGATTCACATGGGATTAACAACACAGACAATCTCCGTAATTATTACAAATAGCATGTGGTCCCTAGGTAAAACTAATCCCGTGCGAATAAGGCTAAAGAGTGAGAGTTTCAATCACACAAGGAGTGTTTATTTACTGAAGAGGGTTCTTTTGGCTGCTCCCTTCTTCATGGGTTGCCACAGTGAGTGAACTCTCATGAAAGATTTGGCAATTTGTTTAATGCCGGACGCCCTTCCTGTCTCAACCTACCATACCACACCATACCAATTTATTTATAGAGCACTTAAAACAGCAACAAGGCTAACCAAA